GAGATATAAAAACTAAAGTAAAAGAAGAGAAACCGATCAAGTTGAGATATAAAAACTAAAGTAAAAGAAGAGAAATCGACAAACTTGAGATATAAAAAGCTAGTATAAACGAAGAGTATTTTCTTATTGTTAAGCATAAAGCTATACAATGGTCTATGTGTGCTGTGCCCACCGCTGGTATCGAACCCCGAATGATTTGAGTAATAAAACCCTAACTTATCGCTGAGTCATCAGGGGTCAAACAAAAAGAGATTAGCAAAGTTAAAATACAAAAAGCTAGAACAAATTAAACTTTGACTACTTATTAATAAGCTGATTCTAATTCTTCTTCTCAGCGGGGTCGTCTCCAATTATCAGGAATATTTGCGGCTTTTTGACTACTTATTAATAATCTGATTATAATTCTTCTTCTCAGCGGGGTCGTTCTCTAATTATCAGGAATATTTGTGGCTTAGGCTCCAAGATATAGTTAAAACATAATTGCAGTGTAACATATTTACAAGTTACGATAGATTCGCAGCATTGTGAAATGCATTCATTTCACTGGCTAATGCTGTCCTTGCTGTTCGGAATGGAACCATATTCACAGAGGTTATACAATGACTGCTAGACAAGTTGAATCTTCGCTGACCATTAACAAACTGTACTGGTTAAATACTGATAAATTACAGGCAAACTAACTGTTCTATAGATCATTTAGCTAAATATTTGCTTCAATTATAAGTGTCTTCTCATAGTCTTATGGAAGAAATTGTCCACGTACTCCGTCACTTGCACATAACAGATGTCCAAAATATAAACATCACAACTGCTCTTGGCTTGTTAAAAAACATGAAAGGAACAGGCGCAAGTCTTACATTATACTTATTCTGATGTAATCGCCCTCTTGTGGTAGCTATAAGATGTATATGTTTACAGTGTTTTACCCTACTTAAATTTCTTTATACGTATTTTATCTGATATGAACGATACAAAATTAGTTGATTATTTAGACGGTAGGAGTTCTTGCTGATTATTAATAAACAATTACTAATGGAGAGGCTCACTTGTAAGCACGATGTATCAAGAATTGAAATCATATCTGTGAACTTTCCGATGTTTTTCTCTTCATTGTCATGCAAATAGACATCACACAGTGGGTCAGCAGTAAGTTTCCGGACTTAAAACGCTAAAAATTCGTGATTCGATTTCCCGCGGTAGACAGCCCATTATTTGTGGTTTTACGCTAAAAGACAACAAAGAACTTAATGAAATAATGGTTATACGATGTCAACTAGATCTGTACGCAATAAACTTCGGCAAAACACGCAATAATTAACGAAATGTTTAACAGCAAATATGTCGAAACTGGGAATTCTTTAAACGTATTTATGTGTTCTTTGTAAAAAAAAAAAAGAAGAAATAAAATACAATAAATATTCTTGTTGTAATCGACTAACGTCAAACTATGAAAGCGTCTTCATAAAATCGTTTAATTGTGACTCATTCTTCCACTAACTTCAAACGAAATCTTAAAAAATAAATAAAGAAAAGTTTTTTTATATTCTTTTCCTTTTTCATTTACATTTGCTTAATTTTACTTCTAATCTTGTTTGTCATTTATTAGCTGAGTTCTGTCCGTTTAGTTGTAAGTTTATCACCTTTCTATTGAAGTACTTCAGATTCTTTAACTTGCACTATGTATTCTTTATGCATTTTTCGAAATGTTTTCCCCTTCACCGAACATGCTCACTCTTTCATCCGTGGGGTCGTTATAATGTGATAGTCAATCTCACTATTCGTTGGTCAAAGAGTAGCCCAACACTTGGCGGTGAGTGGTGTTGACTAGTTACCTTTCCTCTAATCTATCACTGCTAAATTAGGGACGGCTAGCGCAGATGACCCTCGAGTAGCTTTGCCCTAAATTCAAAACAAATTAAACCAACTCAATCTAAATTTCTTGAGCTGTAAGTAGCCTAATGGTTAGAAAGCGGGTCTGTGAATACAAGGGTTTCGTGTCCCTGTGCTGCGAAAACGCGCTACACACTTTCTGGCCGTGGGTGCGTTATAAAAGTGATGGTCAGTTTCCACTATTCGGTCAGACAAGAGCAGTTCTAGAGTTGGCGGTGAGTGCTGTTGGCTAGCTAGCCTATAAGTTCAAAATTAACGATGGTTAACAATGCTTTTCTTTGTTTCCGTTACCGTCATTGGTATCTGTTAAGTCGCTTAATTTTATTTATCTCTTTTCTTAACGATAGATACGCATTACTCTTCCAGAACTACTTCCTATATAGTTTTTTCTTCATAGCCTTAATTATACTATATTATCTTTAATACGTTCAGTAAATACACCATAACCTTTAACTCTAACAATGTGGGGAGTACACAAGCTCATAAGTACGTCTGGTTTGTAAGAAAACATTCAACACGGTGAAGTTGAAGGCAGTCGGGGTTTCTTCTTAGTGCACGCGGGTTAAGCCCAGCCCCTGACGAGTAAATCTCCCTAATCGTTTCACGATCGGAATTAGTCAGATTAAGTGTATAGACCGCGAGATTGGCGGTGTTTGGGAGTCATTGTGGTGAACAGTATTTCGAACTGAAGATTGCATGGAAAACGTGGTCACGTGGGTGAGTACGGTTTTATTTTGTGTAGGTCTAGGTCTGCTGCACAAAATACTGAACAGAAAGGAAATTTTGTAGGAGTTTTCAAACATTCGAACCTTTGTGAGGGGATACACAGATTCCAGAGAGTTCTCGAATTTTTAAAAATCTACTGTTTGGTGTTATAAAAGCGATGAAGACCAGACGGGATACAACACACCTAGCAAGAGTTTCGTTATTTAACACTTCCATATAAATACCGTACTTAGTTTGTACTTGTAAGCTAGTTAATTGTATTTAACCTTCACAATTGTTCTGAAAGGCAAAATTTTCCATAACAGATCCTAACATAGATTTATTTTTAATTATATACTGTCCTCTGCCTCCTTTTTTCATCTTTGAAATTAGTGTCTGATCGGGATTTTTAAATAATACTTCATTATATATTTACATATAAAAACAACTTTTGCTACAGCCTGTATTAACTATATACATGTACATGCCCATAATGTATTATTATTACCACTTCGTACATCAGATTGTACTCTGTTCAATCATTTTTAAATAATACTTCATTATATATTTACATATAAAACAACTTTTGCTACAGCCTGTATTAACTATATACATGTACATGCCCATAATGTATTATTATTACCACTTCGTACATCAGATTGTACTCTGTTCAATCATTTTTGAATACACTCCTAATATATTCTCTATACATGACATATGATAATGTACTCTGTTCCTTGGTTAGTTACCATGGAGTTTCATGTTTAATACTGCTAGTTATTTTCTGGATATATATATATATATTTAATATTCTCCTCAGGATTCAAAGACAAATTCTTAACCGTTGATCTCGGGTTTCGTTGAAACCTTCATAATAGTGAGTGTTTTCCCCGATCTTTCATACTAATTTCTGAAACAGAGCAAACAGTTCCAGTTACTCATGGTCAACTTCCCAATATGAAAACCACGTTTGGATGCTGTTTTTCTTATTCTAATTGGCCAATTCGAATATTCTTTGGGAGTCGTTCGAGCGGATGCTCTTGAACTCTACATTAATGCGAGGCGGGTAAGTCCAATACTCCTTCGCAGCTAGGTGGCGTGGCAAGCTGTTCTTTTGTGTCAAAATTATCGGTCTCTAAAAAGGCACGGGAAGTCTCCAGCAGCACCAGATTTGTCCTCACAAAACGGAATTCCCAATGAAACTCAGTTTAAGCGCATTTTCCACGACTGAACAGTAGCAACAACCGGTTGTTCCCGAAGATGTCGGGCAGCCGAAGAATGGCGCCATAGCCTTGAACCCAGACGCCCTACCGCCACTTTTTGTCCTTTGCTAGAGGCACACCTGCGAAAAGGAAGTAGCTCTCTAGCAATGTGCACACTGTAAAGCAGCTGCGGCCATGGTAAGCCCATCCATGCAATGTGGAACTGAAAGCTCTAACAAAACCCGAATAAATGGTTTAAATTGTCTATAAGCAATGCGTTCTTGTTAAAACCGCGGCGTTACCTCCTTTTATGTGTTTTTTTTTATTCTTCTTTCTTTTATAGGAGACACCATCAGAGTGGTTCATTGAGGACCTGAGATAACGGACAGGAGATGAAAATCACGTGTAGACTGTTCGTTTTCATCTGTTTCATACAGCGAGAAGATCGATGATTTTACCAGTTATCTACTGCTATACAAATGAGTGTATGTCAAAATTAGAGGTTAACATTTAATGATAAATGGTAAAGCTTTCTCCCAGCAGGTTTAACAGATTTTTTTGCGTCTCATTCTTTGCAATGAAGATTAAATGGTTAATTGCTCTCGCGATATTCGAAGTCACCCAATATGCGCCACTATCAATACAAAAGTAATATTCTGCATAATTACAAAATGTTGTTTTAGGTTTGGTAAATCGCCATCTTGTTGCTCTTCCAGTATCAAAGTTTGCGGATTCACAAAGTCTAACTTCTAAAATTTTCTCTTCATAAAATGTTTCGTTTGCGTGATAGATAAATTATCGTAACTGAACACGAATAAAATACTGACGACAACGTGGAAGATATCCATGTACGCGTAGAAAACTTGAATAATTGTTTGTTTTGTTTG